CAAGTGACACGCAGCTCTGCTACAATATTGGCTACCTTCTGCTAGGTTTAGCGCTGGCATCGAACATATGTCTCGGCAAATATAGTTTGGAGTCGAATAAATCACGATCTAGCTCACTAAATTATTTTACTCAAATAATGAGGTAGGGAGAAGAAGTGGAGAAGCTGCTGTATAAATTAAAAAGTCTGTTTATTTTTGTGCAATGGCCTATAAACAATATGCCTGCTAATATTTACTAGCTACTAATTATCGTTCTTTGTATGTCATATTTAAATATTTATTTATACACATTAAATAATATCACATCACATCACATCAACAGCCTATAATAGTCCACTGCTGGACATAGGCCTCTCCTTGGAAAGGAGGTTTTGGCCTACTATACCACGCTGGCCAGACGGGTTGGTATAGGGTTAATTTCATGTTACTCCCCCGGCGATGGCCTCCTTGGCCGGAGACGGCGGGGAGCACGAGGAGGATGATGTTCCGCCCGTCCGGGATTCGGAGGTAGGGGCGGCTGTTCTACGGATCCGTTCCAAGAACACCGCCCCTGGGCCAGACGGGGTACCGGCCCGAGTGTTAGCCCTAGCCCTCAACCACATGGCAGACCGCCTCGGGGAGGTGTTCGCGGGGCGGGGCGTTCGACAGTCGACGCTATTTTGCGGCTGAGGGCCGTGACCGAAGAGGCTGTGAGCTGTGGCGGCGTGCTGTTGGCGGTGTCATTGGACATCGCCAACGCATTCAATAGTCTGCCATTCAGCTGCATCAGGGAAGCACTCCACTATCATGGGGTGCCAAAGTACCTGAGGCGGCTAGTGGCAGACTATTTAGAGGAGCGTACCGTCGTGTACGAGGACCGAGATGGTAATTTGAGGTGTCGGCCCATGTCGTGCGGTGTTCCACAGGGGTCTGTTCTTGGATCCCTCTTGTGGAACATAGGGTACGACTGGGCCCTTCGCGCCGATTTCCCCCCCGGGCTGGGTGTAATCTGTTACGCAGACGATACCCTGGTGACAGCCCGGGGGGCAAACTTCCAAGAGGCGGCGCGCCTGGCCACAACGGGAGTCTCCCTGGTGGTCGGGCGCATTGAGGCGCTGGGCTTACGGGTGGCCCTAGATAAGACGGAGGCCCTGTTATTTCATGGGCCCCGTCGTGGTCCACCCTCTGGCGCCTCAATCGTGGTCAACTCGGTCCTCGTACCGGTTCGGGCCCAGATGAAATATCTGGGCCTGATCCTCGACGGGAGGTGGCTCTTCGACGAGCACTTCCGACAGCTTGCTCCAAAGCTGGTCGGCGCTGCGTCTGCCCTAGGGCGACTTTTGCCCAATTTGGGTGGACCCAGCGTCGCGACAAGACGGCTGTACACGGGGGTTGTCCGGTCAATGGCACTATACGGTGCACCGGTGTGGGCGGCGGCTCTGACCGCCCAGAATAGGGCACGCCTCTGGCGCCCTCAGAGGGTAATGGCGGTCAGAGCCATACGCGGTTACCGCACCGTGTCGACGGAGGTGGCGTGCGCGTTGGCCGGAACTCCCCCGTGGGATTTGGAGGCGGAAGTGCTCGCCGAAGTTTATAGGCGAGTGGCTGACTCCCGGGCGGAGAGCGGATTTCGCCCTCCGCCCGAGGATGTGCTCGAGTGGCGCGAAGCCGCTCGCCGAGCCACGATGGCTCGTTGGTAGTTCCGGCTGGAGACTCCACGCGCTGGCTTCGCCGCCGTGGAGGCTCTCCAGCCGGTCATCGCCGAGTGGGCAGGGCGGCAGCACGGGACCCTTACCTGCCGGCTGATGCAGGTGCTTTCCGGGCACGGTTGCTTCGGAAAGTACCTGCACTCGGTCGCTAGGAGGGAACTGAGTCCGCCTGCCACCACTGCGACTGCAGTGAGGACTCGGCCCAGCACACGCTGGCGGTCTGCCCCGCATGGGCGACGCAGCACCGGGCCCTCACTGCAGTCATCGGAGTGGATCTCTCGCTACCGGCCGTAGTACGCTCCATGGCCGGTAGCGACAGTTGTTTTAACCGCGGTCGCAACCTTCTGCGAGGAAGTAATCTCGCAGAAGGAGGCGGCGAAGAAGGCCTGGGAGGACGACCTCCACTCGGACCCGATCCGCCGCCGGCGAACCGGGCGGCGGAGGCGCGCCTATCACCGCCTCATGCCGCCCTGAGTGTGGCCGCGGGTGGACGGGGTGGGTTTCCCCTCCACCCGCATTAGTTTGGCCAGCCGCGAGGGGGCGGCGTTCGCGTGTGCCGGACGTCGCCTAAAGAGAGGAACAATTTTGAGACGGGGCCCGCAACTGGAGCGGGCCGGCGCTAGGAGGGGTCCGGATGTCTTAATAACAGCTGTTCCTGGATTCCTCCTGTTACAGGCGCAGAGTGGCACACCGTGTGGTTTTAGTCGGTCCGAGTCCGACACACCACCCCGCCGCAAACCCCGGTGGGGTGACGGTCCGAGGGGATTTCCACACGTTTTTTCAAGTTTTCCTTCTCTTTGCAGTGCTGTTGTCCTGCGTAGTTTGCTCCCTTAGTTGCCTCTTACGACACCCACGGGATGAATAGGGGTGGTGACATTCCGTATTCGTAATCCGTCACCACACGGACTAAATAAATAATATTTTTCCGCTTAATATATTAGGTAGTAGGCCCAAACCTTCTTTCTATGTCCAGCAGTGGAGTAGTGATGTATGTACTTTAACACTCCTTTAATAGTGTGATAAAGAATTGATTGATAAGACTGCATGGCTGATTTGCAAGACTAATAATAATTGGTATACTGCCCGTTTTATACTTATTTTATGAAACAAATACTTTTAGAAAAAGAAGCTCGTATTAAGATAGATATTACAATCGCTTTTTGTCCAAGTTGGTTGTTCCATTATTAAAATAAGTCAACAGATGTTGCAATATTTTAACATGAAACTTGTTGTTTTTTTATTAATGTTAACATGCGACTGTAGAACCGTTTAATTTTTGAAAAATGAATTTTCCTAATCATTTAGACTGCTTTTTAAAACAATGTCACAGGAAAGTATATATTTTAATTCAACTATGTTAGTATTAAATATCTTGTTGCTACGCAAAGAAAAAATCACCAAATTTGAATAAAAGAAAAATGGATGGTAAAATTGCTCTTGTAAAATCACCATGAGATTACGTGGTTTGGAGACATTAAACGAATTATAACTCAGCCCGTATAGCAGACGCAGACCTTAATAGCTTTAGTATTTCAACCTTTAATATCTATTCTACATAAAGTAAAAACCGTGAAAAAAATAATAACTATACTACAGTAAGTGCACTGCAAACAAATGATTGTGCTCATCACACAACCTTTGTCCTGGGTAGAAATCAAGCCCATAACCTATGCCTTAGCAGTCAGCCACTAATCAACAAGCCAGCCAGCGAAAGAGTATTTAAGGTGAATGAATAAAGATGACATCCATTACTTATTCTACATTATTATGTTTTATATTTTTGTGTGTGTTTTATTTTTACTACAAAAATATAAGTTTATTTGCAAAATGTAATAAACCAAGTTAAGAGGTGAATATTAATAGGAAAGTTATAATACAGTACCTAATAATTTGACTCGGTAGCAGCAGGATAAAGCAAAATAAAATAAAAACTTCGGCAAGTTCAATCAAACCAGAAAGCCAAAAATATCTGTTGCGGATTTCTATAAATGAATAACATGTTTTAACCAAAGCCTACTTTCTGCCCAAAGTCACCCTAAGTACAAAAATAACAACAATTTACCAACAAATCTGATTTTAGGACTCGTAAAATCAAAGCCCCAAATATGTCGCCTGATAAATAGAGGGACGGATTCGTGGATCCACCAATTACGATATGGAATGGAAGTGACCTACTGCGGCTTAATCGCTTTCGTCTTCACATTTTGACTCTGTCAATTGGACTTAATTCAGTCAGGACTGTCCTAATTTCAACTTGACTGCAGACCTTTTGTCGCCAAAATGACTTAGTAGTGACGGGTAAATAGGTTTCTGTTTCAAATAGTTACTTGGTGTAATATTACTTAATGTAGTTTATTACTTTTAATCGAAATGTATCTGTTTTTAAAAGCTTTTACTGATTTGGCATATGTGATGATGTGAGCTTGTTAGTTCACTTTAGTACTGTGTACAAAAGGTTGTTCAGATAAAAAACACTGTTGGCGATGGATATTTGGACTGTGTACCAAGGACAAAATCTAGTCAAGGAATGCACCATTTAATCTTATTGAGAACCTATAGAATTTAAATAAGCTGTATGTCTAACGTACATAACTAGTAGATACGATGGGCCAAAAAAACCTCTTGCGGTGCACTGTCTGTGATCTAAGTAGTACACCTTAGATATTTTTTGTGATATCCATTCCTCCACAAAGCGTTTAATATACTTTAATCTAATCTGTGTATCTACGAAGCTCTATTATTAATCGTTTATCGAAAGGTGAATATGGTCTACGATTCTTTGAATTTTAGTTTTAATAATTTGCTAACAACAATTCTCTAATCTTCCAATTCAAAATGAATCCTAGTTATTTAACTTTAAAAACTGTTATTATTAAAATAAACCCTTTTTGTCTATTACATTAACTCTAACATAATGTAAATATACAAACATAAATCAGTCTTACATAGCATATACAAACAGAATTTGACATAATATAAAAATTATTTCTATTTTAAGATGTTTAGTACGTTATAATTTTTGATAACCGTGTGTTTAACGTTTGTGTGTCTTTAATATTTAACTATAGGTTGACGGGCCTGTTGATCTAGTGGTTAGTGGCCCCGACTGCTAAACCGGAGGTTGTGGGTTTGATTCCCACCCAGGACAAATATTGTGTGATGAGCACGGTCATTTGTTCTGTGAAGTTATTATTATTATAGGTGATTAATAAACGAATGTCTATATAGGATTCAGATCTTATATAGATTGCCGTACGAATTTGGATGATATAGCATCGGTTGTACGTCTAAGTAAAAATAACATTCACTTACCTGATTTTAAAGCGCAAAACACGAGGAGTAGTGAAATCCATGACGTCATCAGGGATTGAACCATCGCCCAAATGTTCTGCACTAATTACACCATCACTTAACGTCTCCGTATCACTTATAAGCACATTCTATCACAATTCGATTTTATTAAACATTTTAAAAGCACTTTTAATTTAGTTTATTGTCATTACTTCTTCTGGAAAATGAAACATTGCTCAGAACATTAACTTGTGGAATTGTGGAATTCAAACAAGAGAAAAATTACTACATAGGAAACAAAATGAAAACCATTTGTTTTGCTGTTTTGTTATTAAGGTTTGAATTAAATATTCTTAAAAGGATGTTGCGTTTATTTGCTCAAATGAATTCTAAATACAAAATAAAAACAATTTAGTTTTATTTCTAAAAATGCGGTGATACTTTTAATAGTTGTTTTTTTTATTTAATTGAGTTTATGTAGGAGAGAGACTATTGATCAAATTATTGTTGTAACTTGTTTACGTATTTAAAATGGTATTTTGTTTACCCAAATAAGGTTCGATGTGCTGTCCAAAAATAATAATAATAAGTATTTTTTTATTTTCTCTCACACAGAATGACATATCTTGACATATTAAAGTAGATACACAGTTATAGGTGAGTTGAATCTGAGTGAGAGACTGGTATCTGCACTAGGTACACCTGTATTACAGATTACCAGCCTCTCCTGACACTAGGTGCGTAAGTGTTATCCTGTAGGTATAACTCGATTAGGTGAGAGCGAAAGCAAAGTGAAGTGAAGGAAAAATGTGTGTGTGTGTGTGTATGAGTGTGAGTATGGTGTGTGTGTGAATAGATGTAATAACCCTACAACGATGAAGGTGATGGTGAACGGATGTGCGTGATTGAACGTGATTTATAAAGGAAATATATGGCACTAATATGTTTAGATACGACTATACTTATACAAAAATTAGATCTTAGATACCATGAAACCAAAGAATTTACCAGAGAAAGCTGTGGTCCAGCGACAATCACTTTTTTGGACTACTTTATGTTTTAGCCGTTTATTAGTAAGTGATGGGTCGTAGGGTAGCATCGAATGCTGTCTTATGATTATGCTTAGAACGTACAGTTAGCGTCTCTCAGGTTCGTTGGTAAGATGGTATAGGTCCCTTGTTGGGTGTAAGAAGGGGAGTGAGTAACTTACCTTTAGAACTGCCCTTTGAGCTCCTTCCTTAATCAAGATAGATTTACATGCACCGCCCCACACTGATATACAGTATGACAGTATAGACTGACATAGGGAGATGTAAACCAGATTGATCACTTTCCTATCTGCTACGCGACGCAAATTTTTATAGATAAAAATTAATTTACGAGTTCTTGCTGCGAGTAGGTCTAGATGGTAATTAAAGTTTAGGGTGCTGTCAATAACCACCCCCTAAGTATTTAACGTGTGAGACACTTTCCAGGTGGTAACAAAAACAGGTTTGGTTGGGTAAGCATGAATGGGCTATGATAGAGTAGTCATCATGTACGTTGGGTGAAGTATTTTTAATGGCGAAGGGTATAAACTTTGTCTTGTCAACATTAAGGGTTAGTCTATTTTTCTTGAGGTAAGAGGACACCTCGTTGAAACCCATTTGTGAGGAGGTGTAGGTATCCTCCCAGGTGTCTCTATGAAAAATCATAGCAGTGTCATCTGCGAAGGTCACTATTTTGCCGTTAGCAAGTTTGAGATTACAAAGGTCATTGATGTAGGTGAGAAAGAGCGTTGGACCTAGTACACTGCCCTGCGGTACGCCGAACTCCGTAGGTAAGTCATCGCTAATGACATCACCAACTCTCACCCTTTGGTATCTGTCGGTGAGATAATCAGCAAACACTTTATGTTGTATGCCTCGAATACCTAATTTTTCTAAGTCAAGTCTAGGAATATAAAATGATTTTGATTCATTTGAGTTCGGCTGTGTCAACATGATTTTATTAAACATGATTCAAATTATAATCTGAAAGTAGCTATACAATATCAAACGAGTACAATATCCGAACACTTTAAAATAAATACAAAAAATATGTTATTATTTTCTTTTTTATCTTAATTTAATTTGGGGTTTTGATAGAAATCAAATATTCTTATAGTCTAGAATGTTAAAATATCATTATTAGTAAAACCATTATCAGCCTATCCTAGTCCACTGCTGGACATAGGCCTCTCCCATAACCGTATAAAATGTGTAGTTAATTTGAATTAGATTTAAATATGTGAAACCTTGTTGTACACCTTTTTCCCCGGCCAATTTGATGACAGAGTTTGAGCGGTTGTCATCTACTTTCTGAAAGTTTTGATTAGTGAACGTCTCAGACCGCTGTTGTTCAGTTCACTGTTTTCCTGAACCCTAAAATTATCTTTAGAGCTCAGCTGAAGATTTTGTGACACAAAACTGGCCTAGAAGCTGCAGTGCAGGCCGTAGCCAAGCTTAACCTATGTGCATCTTGCCAATGTAATTAAATATTTACAAACTAGGACTAAAGACGTAATAACTATGGTTATAATGCCTTAAGGAAACTTCAGTGGGAGAGCCATGTTTCAGCACAAATTGGTCGGCTCTACCGGAGTGTTACTACGGAATAATGTCTTCATAGAAAATCGGTGTTAAGCTATTTTTTCGTCGTGTTTCACCGAGTGAATGAGGACCAAATCCTCCTCAACTGGATTCTAGAACAGGAGTCACAAGGGCATTGCCATCTTTTCAGTCGAAAAGGTGGCAATGCCCTTGTGACTCTTGTCTAGTACCCATAGTACAAGCTCTGCTTAGTTTGGGACTAGATGGTGCCGTTGTGTGAATGTGGTACAATGGTACTCTTGAGTTGGAGGTGACCATGGGCGGCGGTAGTCATTTACCATCAGATGACCTGTCCGCGCATTTACCAAGAGGTATATCTATACTTTTAATATTAAATTTTTTTACTTCTCGTATGATTATTTGCTTTCTTTTCATTTTTAGTTCTATTTCTGTTATTTTAAAGTTATGTAATTATGTGTTAAATTAGTTTAATATTAGTTGTAGCCTCACAATCGCATTGGGTTTCCTGTAAGGATTGTGTAGAATGTGTTTGTGATAAATAAATAAATAAATAAGTATCTAAAAAAAAAAAAAACCCAACCGAAGTGAAAACATATACTTATATAGAGAGATGTCGGTAATGGTAACAGTGTCGAGAGATCAATTCTTTTTTTCCCCATCTCAAAAAATACCCAACGCGCTTAAAGAAGTTTTCACTTCAACAGAGGTGTTGGTAACGGTAACAGTGTCGAGAGTTCAATGTTTTTTTCCCAACTCAAAAAATGTGTTTTTTGTTTAACCATAAAATACATTCTTTTGTTTGGTGTTCAAAAATGCCCAAAGCGCCTTTTCACTTCAAAAATCTTACAAAGTTAACAATGAGAAACAAGTTTTGGTTGAATTAATGATTCGAAATATAACAAGTTACCTTGATTCTTAAAATATTCACTCTAATATTCTTTCTTTTTCCCAAACTAGTTAATGTTATTGTATTGTTAAATTATTCATATTCTAAAATATAAAATGTGTGTGTATTATTTTCTTCAAAGTGTTCCAATCAGCTTTTTGCCAAGTGTTCCAAATTAGTCATAAACTCTAAATTCGCAAAAGGTCAGGTGTCAGCTACATAAACAAAACGCTTACTCACAAGATGGTGAGACATTTTAACCCCTCCCCTCTTATCGTTCTACATCAGTCCCAACATGATAATAAAGGGTTTAGTCGTATCCTTCCTGACTGGCCAACATTTTATTCAATGAACCTTCAATATATCTCCGTAGCTGTGTCTATGGGTTTTTCCTCTGCTAAAATATTTATTGTACACACTCCGGTTGAGCGACTTGATTCACTTTTAGGAAGCCGTCTTGTTATCAAAGGTGTGTGAAAATCAAAGTATATTGTTACTAAAATATAACGTTTTTATTATCCGTTTTAGGCAAACTAAAGTACCTATTGTTTACTTTATCCGTAAATTTTACAATTTATTTTCATGTTTTGCGTCTTAATTTGCATTAATATTATTATAATACGTATAAAATACCTAATATGAAAGTTCCTTTGATTGAAGAATGTTTTGAAAACAATTTTGGGCTACTTTTAACTGACTTATGATATGATGATATAATATGAATTATGTTTGTTACGCGATATCGCTGCTAATTATGGGTCGTTTTTCAAAATTATTATACGGAGGTGATCTCTTTACCACCAAATCAGAATCTGATGATGGAATCTTAGAGAAATCGAGGGAAACCCTAAAATTTTACAGCCCCACTTTTTTGTCTACAGTTATTTGTATTTGGTAGTCGCTATCTTCTTTTATTGAGCTAATGATATAATATATCATCATATATTGACCTTGTTCTATTCTTTCTAGATACCGACTACAAACATACTAAAAGGCTATTATAATATTACCTGTTATATTGAGGATCGCACTTATTTTAGTTTTTTTCAACTAGATTTGTAATTATTTTTTAATTTTAGTGCTTTTTGTGAGTATTGTTTGAAGTCAGTTAAATTTTTAAGGATCTTTATTTTTAATTTTATTTTTTATTTTTCAAGGATTTAAATATTTATTTTTTATCAAATAGGCCGCTCTATAGCGTCGTAATTCATTCAATTCATTTATAGTAAAATTGAAAACTAAGATAATGATAATATTAATCTGAAGTAGTATATATCATTAATGTTGAATGTTAGGTCAGATATTGTTTTTCAAAGATAATATCAGTTGATAAAAAACGAACGAATATTTTGTCTCCGACTGCTGGCTTAACTTGGAGCACCTTTGTAAGACACTCTTTTTGCAAACAATGTACCTACTTTAGCTATATACTAAAATTTAATTTTAGTACAATCCTTAAAGTATTGCACTATAATAAAATTTTGTTGTACACAATTTACTCATATTTATGCGTTTTGTACAAAAAAATGTTCTAGGTTTAGAAAAAAACTTACGAATAAAACACACTTCAGTATTACATAGCAATTTTTGATTAATATAGACGTACAA